GAAAAATAATCTCGAAGGAGGAAGGTTACTTTCTTTCAGACTCTAAACTAGCGCGGAGTTTAAAAGTTGAAGAAACGGTTGAACAAAGTCAAAAAGATTAAGTGAAGGAAGAATGATTAAATGAGTTTGCGATTAACAAGACGTCAGGGACGATTGAGGCACGAAATCTATTCGAAGTGCACATCAAGGTGCACTTCTTCTCAGTTACAATAGTTTAATTCCTCGTTAAATCCTGGTCCACGTAGTTCATCGTTCTTTCGAATATCCCTTTGTCTAACTTTATCCTTTCAGTTTGAGTCCTTGCGGTCGTCAAGGATTTTTTAGTAAAACTTCGATTCTCTATACCTATGACCAGAATAGTCAACATTAATCATCGCTGTATTTTCGGTGATACGGGTAAAAAGTCCATTTCCACCCATTACGACCTGAATTTCAAGTTCCAAGATAGATAAAATTCAACTTTTTCTGATCACATACATTAGACCTTTCATGGGAAAAAAAAGAAGTTTGTGCCATCATATGCAGTACTTTTTGAGAAAAATATTTTTAAAAATGTGTGATATTTTCGACGTTCACAGTGGTACAGCCCCTTAATCTGCAAGCGTCGGTCGTCCACCTTTCACGATTTTTGCCATTCGTAGGCATTTTATTTGCTTTCGGTAATTGAATAACGGATTGTACTACGACTGTAGTACATTAAATACGCCTCAAAGAATCCCTTCCTTCTCTTCCACTCTACATCCAATTTTCCCTTAGAAGTCCATTTGCAGCCTTACAATCGTCATCGATCTCAGTTTCTCGTGCATAATCAGTAACCCGTTGAAAAGAATTCATTAAACTGAGAAGAATGCATATATTAAAGCGGTCACTTTAACCTCTGCATCTACAATATCGTGTGAAAGACGTGGTATATCAATCGAGCGAAACGTGAACAAAACGTGTGACAGACGTGGTATATCCATAAACAAAACGTATGAGAGACGCGTGAGACTTTGAACGTTCAGCCAAACCGTGAAATGGCCTGATGTAAGGATCGACATTTTTTATTGTTTATGGCACGCGCTATTGGAATTTAAATCCTAAGGCAAGGGATTAATCTATTTAGCTGGTGCTGATCAGGTCCAAAGACCCGCCACGGATTTTTCCTGTAAATCCTTATTACTGCGCATCGTCACGCACCGACATGCTGGATTACCATCAGACGGCGTTTGTCACGTGTTTCCCGTAATATGTATGATGCAGACTCATCGGAGCTTGCTCCGATTGCCCTGGAAATCCTGGAGGATTTGAAACGTGAGGAAAGGGCTGAGTGGCGGCTTACTAGGTGTGCCTCCTCGTCATAGAGCCGTCGGAAATCGATCAATTGGTCAATCGATCGATTAGGATCGACTACACTGGCGGGAGAATCTACTACAACGGATGAGAAGTCGACGTAACTTAACGAAAACCCCGTCGCACGTGATCGACTGGCATAAAGAATTTGTTTATATCTAAAAAAAGTGAATAGAGGCACCATGGCAATTTACCTGTTAACCGGGTATGGCGAAATCTTTCGTCATAACAGAAAGACAATGGGCATGTCGACTTTTTTCGTCATGGAAATTAGGCGAAGGAAAAAAGTCCCCATTGCGAAACGAGTTGCTCAAAAGTTAATTCCCCAGTTAACTGGTTAAGGTTTCGCTTTCAAATAGGAGAGATGTTTGACGTAGACTCGACGCTTTCAAGTGAATTTTCGATAAGGATTTGATATAGTTCAGGAACAATGCTTCACCGTGGAGTGGGTGGATGTGTATGAAGTTACTGGTGCCAACACTTAGTTGAGTATAACGAGGCTAATTTTTGGATCTACTTTCGAGCTTGGGAGAAAAACCAGGAAAGTGGATAGTACTTTAGGACCGCTGCTGTGCTAGTGATTTTTCGGTCGAATTTTGGAAATTTCGAGTGAAGCTACCCCAGACGAAAGGAACTGAAGTTATCCTATACTTCATCGATTCGTGTCGGGGGCATCGAGGAATTTCCGGGGGAGTGATCGAGGTGCATCGTAAATCTCTGGGAATCATTCCCACCCGAGTGCACTTCGCGGTTCGTTCCGGAATTCGTGTCATCCGACTTCCGCCGGTGGTCACGTGGCACGAAGAGCGAGGAACAGAGAAGGGGAGAAGTAACTCTACAAACTGTACGACAAAGTGAGGAAAAACTAAAGACGTGGTGGAGGACCCGATGAAAACAGGGGTAACCGGAAATGCAGCTTAAACGTGTTGGAAGAAAACGGGCACTTCCAGGATGAGCTTCAATTTTTTGCCACAAAGCTCGTGTTCTTATCTTTGCAAAGAGCAATATATATCTTCTTTAAAGTGTACATTTATAAATACAATTGCCGTAGTTTTCGGGTATAAATCTGCAATAATAATAGGAAATAAGATAAATATGAAATAGTGTCAGAACGGAACGAAATTGGTGTTGTGTTGTACACGGGAGGACCTTTAAAAATATTTGTCAAGATTATAGAACTACCCAGCACATTTACCAATTTTCTGCATCAATCAGCGTCAGTTGACATCTGTCAATACTAGTCACTGCATGATGGGACAAATTACACCAGCCTTGTACTGCAATTTTCTAGGCGCAATATATAAGCGAAAACGTTCTAGTAATGAATCAGAGAAGCGAGAAAAAAAGAACGAAAAGTGCATCAGGGTGAACAAATAAAGATCAACAAAGCAGGAGGCGTTAGAAGCAGGGCAGAGGGAAAAAAAAACGAGAAGAGCTCACGCCGTGCTGTGAATTCTTAATGATAGCCATGTCAAGGTACTCTGTACCTGCCGATTGGTAATCTTTCCGCGATTTCGAACACTACCCTCTTGCAAGTCCCGAATCTATTCTCCGTAACTGATTCAAGCCTCTCCGTGAATCTGAGACCGACTGGGTTGATTTTACACCCACGATCAGTCACGAGCCTTCAAGTTGGATGGTTTACCTAACTGGAGACATGACTAGAATTCTGCCCATAAAATCAATTCCAAACCGATAAACTAAGTGAACACGTCTGGATCTGGCAGGTATCATTACTTTCAGAGGACTTCTAAGAGGAAACCGTCCTGAAATGTGTAAAATGGATTCGAGGTTGTAAACTGTGGTTATCGAAACCATATATGCATTGCATAAAGCTGGCTGTGGACGGACATTACGTGACGTTATCAGTAATATCATTGCTTTCGAACAATTCAAGTGCATTCTGCTTAAACCTGACACGAATCGACTTAGAAAAGTTAGTCACTTCCTTTAACTTGAGAGTAAGTTCTCCTGCTCTTTGAACTTAGGAGTCGTACAAGCTGCCGTTCTTGCACCATCTAAAAAGCGGGACGACACCTCTAAGACGCTATGCAAACCTCGCGAACCAAGTTCCACTGATTCGAGGTGATTTAAATGCATTCTGACTAAACATGGCACGAATCTAGCTCAAAAAGTTTCTCGTTGCGTTAAACTTATTACCATCGTCCTTGAAGTTCGGGATAAACTGCAAGTTCCGTCGTTCCTGCTTCATCTCGAGAGCAATCATACAATACTACGGATGTATATGGACCTCAACGGGGAAACTTTATTGCATTCGAGGAATCCAATTGCATTATCTTCAGACACCCTACAAATTAAGTTCACGAAATCAATTACACTCCTAAACCTGCAGACAAGTCTACCTTTGCTACCGTAGTTGCACCTCAAGGAATAGAGATCGAGTATATTTCATAGCTTCCACTGAATGTGTCGACATCATTGCCTCCAAGTAATGGAATTAAACATGAAAGATATCTGCCGAAGATGATCATCCGTTAAGTCTGAATGCAACTCTACTTCTACTGATATTACCTTCTACCTCAGAATTGCCCAGATTGTGCCATTCCCGTTTCGCCTGAGAATCATTTTCGCCATTGCAACGGCATTGCAACAGTTTACAGACCGCGTTAAGTGGTTGTAAATCAAGAACATTGGAGCTACATTTAAACCGCAGTAACTGGCCTATAAATCAGGAAATACTGTGACAATTTAAAGAACCTATCAGCGTTAACTGCTTCAAGTGACCCAACTATGATACATTCTAACTAAACACGACGCAATCCTGATTGGGGCACTCCATCCATTTTTTAAATCTTAGATCTATACTTGTCGCTCTGAACATTTTCCTCCTGATTCCTCTCAGAAGAGGACATGCTTTGACACAGGCGACGTAAAGATTACATTAAGTAGCCCGTTAATCAGGCATCGTCGTAAGAAATCCCGGAACCTCCACCATTGCCTTTAAGGTGATATGAAAGAGTCAGCCTATACATATCTGAGAGGTCAAATCTTTGGGGAAAGTATTCTCCGAATTGGGTGCACCGATTCGTTTCAAATTTTACCACTCGAATATGGAGACCCTAAAGTAGGTCCTGAAACTCACGAAGTTTCATTTTTCATCACAAAATCTTGAACAATTTAGTATACTCAACGTAGACTGTAAAAGCCATCAACATAAATATAAATGTCGGTACCGGGACGCGTCATCATATGTTCCCATTTTAACTATTCCAAACGGCATTCCCACCAAAAAGGGTATAGATGAATGTCATTTTACCGACGTCATTAAATTTCTCAGCGCCTTTCATATCATCTTAAGAATTCAAACTCCTGTCACCAGAACTCGATTTCAATTGAACCTGACGCAAATCTATTCTAGCACACCATTACTCTCATAAACCCACGCCCAACTCTGCCATTGCTGCCAGAGTTGTATCCTAGGAACCGAGGAACGTGTAAATCGTGCCGCCGTCTCTGCTCGGTCCCGGAAGCCGGCAGATCCCGGTCGTGGCTGAAGTGTAAGGACTGCGCTAAGTGGTTTGTGTCCGCGACGTAATCCTTGGGTGATTCGGTGGCGTGCAGTGTGTCGAGCCCAGGGCTATTTTCCGGCGGGGGATGAAGAGCCTTCGAGAGACGTAGGGTCGACTGGGCTGGACGGTGCCGTGGAGATGAGGAGCTACTCGGGAGCCAGTGCTCTCGCCGCCCTGACCGTCCTTCTCCTGCTGATTTATGCGTGCTCCGTGCGGGCCGGCGACCAAGGTAAAAGACTACGAGATTAACGTCCGGACCCCGCCGATACTTTAGACCCCCGATTTTCGGCTTTGGCTTCCCGCCATTTTTCCCCCAGTTGGACTCCCGTGAAAGGGCGGCCTCAACTTCTGGATGGAGGAGGGAAGAACTCCGCAGTAAATTTCGGGAAACCGCGAATCCGAGTCAACGCTCAAGCCGTGTCGATACACCGGTAATTGATGTCTATCCCGTGTGCGAGAGTATGTATTTTTAAATGTATTTTTAAATTCACTGCGGCTTTAGAAATGTCGAAGACGAATTGCCGGAAAGGGACTTATTGCCTGCTTGGGCCAGTCGAGCCATTAAACGGTTTAGTAATTTCCTCCCTCCGACTTCCGTGCGTAAATTTAAGTTTTCTACGACACGTTTACAGGATGTACATTTTCGAAGGAAAATATTTCAGGGTACAGCCTAGGGTATAATGATATACAAAAATATCCACACGTCGATACGTCAATTTTTGTTCCAATTGGTACATTTTCTGTAGTTAAATATTTTGCGAAAATGCTACGAACTGTTTACGTGTCTTCCCACTGCAGGGCCAATTTAACATTCGGCGCCAGCGCGAGATCTAAATCCTACTTTTCCGAGTATCCCGGGCGATAAAAGCTCGGTGTTCGGTACCTGCGATCGTAAAAATTGCAAAGTAACAGACAGCGCAGTACAGATTTGCATCTGAAATCCGAATTCCCTTCGGATGTGCCTCTTTAAAGTTCCGCCGACGCGGATCTCGGACCCGGTTGCTAAAGTTTCGCGAATCTCACAAATTTAACGCGAAATTCCTCCCCTTATAAGAATTTCTCCACAATTACTCGAGATATGAAATGTGCCCGGGAAAAAAAAACATTTTCTGATGAACCACTTTAAGTGAGTTAGAAACGTTGACTTTAGCTCTTAATTGAATGTGGAGTACCTGAGTGTTACAAGAGATATTTTGAGGTTGTTGTATGAAGTAAAGAGCTCGGATATGGGAGCTTTAATATGAAGTTTGTTTAAATTAAAGCTTATGTTTAGGCGGTATTATAGATGTCTTTAATATGTGCATGCGATGCTTATATCAGCTCCATTGCGGTGCTTTTAGCTACTTTGAAGGCTGTAAAGTTTTCACATGATGTACCACACGGTTATCGTCAAATTACTTTTGCTTAAGCCCACTCGGGAATATATATTTTTTTTTATTTTAATTATCCCGAGTGCACTCGAGGATCGAGTCTGAAGCTTTCAAAGCCGGCAGAGGAAATACCTCCATTTTTCTGCAATTGACGCTCAAGCTGCTCTGTAGTATTGGTGCCATCATATAGAGGACGATTTTCGGATCAGTAAACGTTACCTCGGTGTTTTTTTTTTTCCTCTTTGTAGTTTAAAATTTCAGGGTGAATTCGATCATAACGCAACGTTTCGAAAGGATTATCATTTTCCAGTACGTAACGTGATATATTTTTAATCGGATCTCGAGAGCGCTCGAGTAGGTGAAAATCAAAGGCAGTAAGTAACGAGAGAGGAACTCGGAGTTCCGACGGAAGCAAAAATTCTAAAGCCTGGGAGGAAAAAAAAGGGGAGCCAGTACGGATCGTAAATCCACGAGCCCGGCCGCGGATCAAGCGGTAAATCCTTCCCTGGGCTCGGGGCGAAGTGCCGAAAGGAAAAAAGAAGTTGAGGTGAAGTATCGGCCATATTGGAAGGAAGATGTCCTACCCGTATCGTTGCGGCCGCTCTCGTTAATTACGAGGAAACTTTACGGCACTGTGGGCCGACGTTCGAGCACGGCCAATTTTACGATTACGATCGGCAGTCATTTGCTTCTCACTTTATTTCACGGAGCAAGTGCTTCGGAAGCGATCACTTTTATTAGCGGGATCGTACTTCTTCCCCTATCTCCTTACCTTAATTCTTGTCTATTGTTTCTCTACATGGCAAGCGCGATAATCCTTTTTTCAAAGTTCACCTCTGTAGCGGTATTTTCATTTTCAATGTTCTGAATTGTAAAACCTTTTTGCCGAATGTCACAGTCAATGTTGTATGTACAAGATTTTCCGCTTCCTCAAACCGAAGTCAAATATTAAAAACTATGTCGAAAGGAATAAAAAAATTAGAAACTGAATTTGTAAACAATATTTTATTTGGCGAACATCCGAGGTACACTCCTTGCATATGATCATTTTGGTGCTCGCCAAATAAAATATTGTTTTCAAATGTAGTTTGGATTTTTTTTTTAAACGTTTAGTTTAATGTAAGGGAAATTGGGAAATGTTTGGTAATGAAGTATCAACATGGCAATACCCATGAAAAATTTTCATTCGATTTAGACGATATTTTGAAGTACCACTGCACGATGGAGTGGAATAATCAAAGTATGCTTATATTAGCACCGATTTAGCAAAGGGTCGAACCAAATGTGCGATCCTGTATGAGGCAATTCTCGGAAATGCCCATCCATTGCATAAAATACAGATAAACCTCCATAAAAAGATCCCTTTACAGTCGTTACCGGATAAAACCGTGTCTTTATAGCAAAACGGTCAGGCAAATGGATCATCCTCGATAACCCCAGAAATATAAATAGAATTCAATAACGATTCGGTATTCTCGAATTGTTTAAGTCGAAAGGTATGAAGAGAACGTTATCAGCTATGAGATTAATAATAATGGAGAGTTGACCCCATAACCGCCCCTCCGATACTGCAGCACCCTTCGACCGTCACTTCCGATGACCATGTTCATACGTGAAGGTGTAATATCGCTTTCTTCTAAATTATGCATAAACTACTCTGCAATCACCCATTCCCGCATATGCCCCTTCGGGAAGACCAATAGCGATGTCATTAATTTTTAACGCGTTTCCTCGTTTCCCAGGCTCGATCTTTGCAATGCAAGTGCGCTTTTATTTCTGTTCTTTGTCTGTACCGACAAACACGCGTTTCTTATTCATAAACCAATTCGAAAACCAGCAGGAAGCGTGATATCGATTTTGGCTCCATTCCGTATTTGCTGCGCTAGGTGCCGTGTCGCCCGAAGCACGAAGTGTAAACATCTACTTTCCTTTTTATTTTATAGTTAACGAAATATCGACGGGGGTTGCGTATTAGCGCGTCCGCGTTCATATGTGGAGCTAGGGTAAGCATCGGTAAGAAGTGTCTATGAATTAACCATTACGCCGAAGGTGAACTTCATGAATGAAACATGACACAAAATCTGTCGTTCACTGGCAGGGGGTAAAAGTAAAATTGCCAAGGAATGAAATCCTAACTGAGGGTAGACAAACATACCACAAGTGCGGTAATAAGGCGACAATTATTGCCTGTATAATAAAATAATGTATGAAATTCACATTACAAATTTCTTTTTGATTATGGCGCCTCCCTCAAACGAGTGGGGCGCAATCCCATATATTTAAAAATTTCTCCTTCAATGGAACTTCTTTAAAATATCGGCTTCAAATTTTGGGGGCTCATTCGACATGATGTTGTTTGTGACAAATATTTTTATGTTATACACGTTACTACAGTCAGCAAAAAATAATTGACATATGGAACTAGGCTACTTTCAAAATAAACGGCTTATGTATTTAAATAGTCATCGATAAAGTGAAGGGGTTAAATGTCATTAGGTAAATCTGGTCGATATTGAAAATACCTACACATACATTACTCGAACACATCTGCTGTATCGTTATAATAAACAATACGAGGAGATGCTGTTCATATTGGTCCACTAAACACTCTCTGCTCGCTTAATATACATTATTCAGTGAAATGTCCAATCGCAAACCTATCGATTACAAGTTGATATTCAATTGATCTCTGGTCCCATTAAGCTACTTGTGTGTGTGTACACACTATAGCGGAATACGACTATATAGTCATTAATCGTTGTTAAATTCGCAATGCAGTTTAAAGTTGCTCGGTAACCAGCGACACCCTGTTTAACATGCAGCTTGAAAATTAATAAATAATACCCTCGAATACACTTTCTGCTATCTACAAGTATTAATTGAAATTTAATTATCGCAGTTTCCACATCTTTTTATGGTTGTGTAATTTATGTGGTGAGCCCAGTAGGGAACAATGTAATCATTAGAGAGAATCTCGGTACTATTTATGGTTATTAAAACGCTTTGAAAATGAGTTTCCCCACATGGTTTAAATTAATAATTCCGATGAACATGGTATTCGGTATTTCGAGGCTAATCATTATAATATATGACACCGTCGGGTCTACAAAATTCTATTCCGTGAAATATTCACCTAAAATGTGATATCTCATAACGCGATAGAATCGTGCAGGATTATTAAATCTGGTATTGCTGAAATTTCCGAAACTGTCAACCCATGGGTACGTCCTATTTATTTCCTCGTCGCAAGTAAACCTCGGACGGATGTAAATTTATTTAACATTAAACATTTGGGCCGTTTATTTTGAAAGCGGGATCGCGCTCATCCGTTTCTTTCGGCAGAGTGCAATCGACGCTGCCGTGATAACGAGGGGCGATCGCGAAAAAGCGATAGAGGGAAAGAGAGAGAGTGTTGTTTTAAATCGGAGCGCCATCGAGGCCGGTGTAAATATCGCGGCCCGATATATTCCTCGGAATTTCAATTAACCCGAATCCCCGTCTTGAGCAAACAAAAGGGCCTCCGGAAGCTGCGCCCTCGTTGACCCTCTCGTTCCCGCCGACGTGTCTTGCTCGATTTGACTCCGCGGGGGGTGGAAAAAAACTTCTCGACGAGCTCGTTAAGCCCGACGGAAAAGTGCTTGATTCGCCGCGAAACTTGGCGAATCGGCCGCGGGGCTGGAAGTGCTACTTCGCACCAGAGAGACCGGATAATTTGCTGGACCCCCTTTTTTCTTTTTTTCCCTCGAGTTTCGAGATAGGCGACGGGCTTTGAACTTTTGAGAATAATTCATGGGGGTGAGGCCGGAGGTGCGGAGAAGTTTGTTCGGCCGGGGAACGAATTGCGCCGGTACTGCAATTT